GAAAAAAGTTACAATGCAGCTGCGTCTTGAAACAAGAAAAGAAAATAATGTCAAGCAGCCTTACCCGAATTCCCAAAATAGCGAAAACCCGTGAGAAAAAAACTTTTTCCTGAGTTGCCCAAAAATACAAAAAATCGCCACCGTCGTGAGTCGTTAATCATTAAAAAAAATAAAGAGAGTATCAATATTTACGGCAAAGTTCAGTAGCCATTTTCATAGACATACTTGTTTTGTCGCGACGCGGTATTCATCGGAGAGAGCCCGTTCGACTTTCGCTCTCATATTGCTGTAATACCCGTGGCAATTAGACACAGGAACATAAAATAACGAGAAAGAATTTTTGAGATGGGGAGAGCAAGGAAATGCCAAGACTCAATGGGAATGGCGGAGAGTGGCGGGGAATGAATTTCCGCTGGGCGGAGCGGAGCCCACATGATGCGCGGAACGATTGAGGGAGAAGAAACAAAAATGGTAAAATTGGTGACTGTCTACCTGACCCGTTTTTGGGACCACTCGAGATCCTGCTTAGTCTCCTTGGCGGCTTTAATACCATCGGCAAAATTGGCACGCGCATTTTTGAGACGTCGCTGAGCAAGCGCTTGGAGTTCCAGAAGTTCTTGTTGCTTGGCGTTGAGATGGCCGGAGCTATTGCGGGAATTAGTTTGGAGAGATCGGGAATTGCAAGATAGAATCTCCCCAGGAAACCCAGCAATACTAGCACTTTACAGCTTCGCCAGTGCTCACTATTGATTCAGGGGAAGACTCACAGTTTCGCCTGTTTAGCTACCCCTTTGTCCAACCGGCTAGGATCGAAAACGTTTGACATACGGTCATTCAGCATGTCCATCAAATCGACGCCGGAATAGCCTCCGGAGGAGGTATCGAACGTCTCCCCGCTCGCGCTGCCTGTCGTGGTGCTCGCATCGGAGATTTCGGGTGGCGAACCAGCTACACGGGAGATGGGATAGAGGTTTGCACTCGCGGGAGCCTTTGAAGGCATGGCGATCGGGAGGGAGGAGGCGGGCTGGTAGTAGTTGCCTCTGATGGAATCCATTTTGGTCACTGTTGTGGAAAACGGGGAATTTCCTTTGGGTTTTTCTTTGAGCTACTCGAATGCGCTGGAGGGCTGATATTGGTGCTCGCGAGTAGTAGGGAGCAGAAGCAGTTTCCTCGGAAAGAAGCGGAATGGGCAAATGGTGGCAAAATAGCAGATTGCAGCACCGGACACTGTGACAAGATGCTTTCTCTTCCCAACGGTGTGGAGGTATCACGATAAGCAGTAACAGACGACCAAGTCAGGAGGAAAATCCAAAAGACGGGGAGTGAGGGTATAACAAGCAGCAGGCAGTAAGTGATAAGTATTACAGAGGGGGCTGACTCTCACTGAGAGAGTTGTTGTTGAAGACTGTGAAGACAAATATAAGATGTTGATATAAGGTATGGTCAATTGGGAGGAAGGGTTAGGGGCCAGCAGGAAAAGTCAGTGAGGATGCTGAAGCTGATGGTGAAGCTGAACAGAAGAACGAGGAAATAAGGAAGAGGAAGAGGAAGACGAGGAGGAAGAAAAGGAGGAGCCTTTTATAGCCACGCCGGGGAGCCATCATGCCTATTCAGGAAGACGAAGCGAGACGATAACCCCGGGGTGAGAGGAGGGAATGCGCGGGAGAAAGACGGAGGAGCAAAAAGGAGATAAGAGGAGAAAAGAGGAGAAACGCCAGACGGGAAGGCGAAACGCAAAACGCATCCAATGGCAGCCGTCCGCCGTCCCCATCCCCTCGTCGCATCCCTTCCCATCCCGGCCGCCACTCGCTCTCCGTCGCAGCCCCTATCCAATGCCCCCCTCCCGCCCTTTGCCCCTTTCGGAAGTGTGTGGGACGCTCACCCAGCCCGTTCTATCTACTTAGTCGGTCTGCTGCCGCTCCAGCCCAATCTGCATCCACCGTCCACCCCCCTGCTACACTCCCCTCGCCTTCCTGTGCCCGATCCCCGATTGGCCGCCGTCGGGGTTCACTGACCCCGCTCGCCAGTCCACGAAGGAGGCACCAAGCTCCAGCTGCCAGCCCGTTCTAGTTCCATCTCGGCTGGGTAGAGTCAAAGAGTGCTACCGTCTACGCGCCCCCCGGCTGCAGTTGGGCTCCCTATTTTCATTTTTCCTTGGGCGAGGATCCTCTGTGGAACGGCGGCAGAGGCCCTCCACCGCCTTCCTGGGCGGCCAGTTATAACGCGGCGGTTAGGATATGGGTGGTGGGAGCAGATGGCAAGGCAAGGTTAACAATTGAGGATAAGCAAGCTAAGGGCTAAAGGCGGCGAGGGATTCTTGGGGTCGGGCTGCGGCTGGTTGGCTGGAAACGTAGTTAGGCGCAAAGGTAGAGTTGAGAGTGAGGGTTGTTATTGATGGAATGGTCAAAAGCTGATCCATGGGTATTTATTGGGTATTGGGTAGTTATCGGAGTACTGTATTATTTCCGGGTGTGGGGGTTGTTCTGCAGGCGGGTGTATCGTATAGTTTGACATCGCATATAAATATTGGACCCAGATATGGCATCGACAATAGCTCGGAATAAATCCATGGATTTACACACTATTGTTGGGAAATGATCGCGGCATCGATCAGGCATGCATGACTAAGGGAGTTTGACGTTACAGGGCTGCGGCAGAAGTGATTCTTGCAGAATAAATAATTACGCTTCATAACACTATCTGTTTTCTCTCCTGTGTGAGTAAACTTAACTACTGTAAGTTGACGGTTCATAAGTTAACTAACTATACGGGGTAGTTAACCAGGTTTATCGACCCTGTTTGTTCCTTGGTTCTGCTCTCAATTGACATCATAACTTTGACTCCATTTCCCCTCCCCCGTCCACTTAAATTTATTCTTTGTGTTCCGCGCACTCTCACTGACGATTAACGTCTAGCCATATAATTATATACTCTTCCGCAGGTTCAGTCGCTCCCATTCAATAGAATACTCCTCTTCTTTCCCTTGTCTGGACATTCAAACCGAGCGCAAGAAACCCATCTTCACAGATCTTACAGCCGAGTCAAGCGGCTCTCCAAAAACCAAAGACGCCGCTTTGAACAATAACATGAGACAATCAAAAGGAAACCAAACCCACTAATGCACCTACTAATATGGTTGGGAAGAAAAGAATGAAAATCGAAGAATCGGGAAAGGAAAAACACCCTGTGCTGGAGTTGGACATCTTTGCATGAAGAAGGGCAGCAAAGCGGAGGCCAGACGGAGGAAGAGAGTTTCTTGTCTTGCCCAATCCCAAACGACGCAGCAAATCGATCTAATCGGTCGAATCAATCCACGACACCACCTTGGCATCTCTTTTCCAAACGCTTCGTTTAGTGTGTGACGGGAGGGGACGGACGCTTGTAGTTCAATAATCGATTTGACTCTCTCCGCATAGCCATTGAAAACAAAACCGAATTTTTTTGCTTCATTTCTACAATACACTCTGTATTAAACCTAGAAAGGAAGGACGGAAGAGAAAAAAAAGAAAAAGTAAAAGACAAGAAGAAAACCTGTCAACTCACGGCGTAGTTATAGTTCAATTGTTTGGATAACCCAATGTTAAGTTTCGTTTCTCCAATTTCAGCCAGTCTAGATAGGCGGTTTTAGCAATGTTCATTTCATACAATCAATCAGCCTACTCCAGTGCAATTGCAGCCAACCTAAATATAGATACATCTACATCTCCTATAAAATCTTAAGAGTGAATGCGGATGGATTTTTTCCAATAATCAGATTTGATCTCACAAAGAGAAACAAAACTTTGTTCATTGTCAACTTATCATGAAATATAACAATCTATCATCACTTTCTTCACAATGCACAAGAACAACTCATCTGAGACGGCTGAAAATCAGCTGATATAGCTCTTTGGTAAACAAAAAAAAAAAAAAAAAGATCAATTGAAATATGTACCCAGCTGAGTTTTTCCATTCTTATACATAACAGTACATATACTGGCGAGATAGTGTAAATAGAATTATAAGAGTTCTACTGATAAGATTGCTACTGGTGTGGCGTACATTAGATTGACGACAATGTAGCAACTGCTCTTATTACAAAGATATCTTCTCTAGCTAGTAGAGGTGAAAACCGCAGGCGTTATATACAACTATTACCTATTCACCACACAGTTGAAGGGGGTTACGTTAAGCAAAACTGGCGTTTGTATGAGACATTTCCTGATCAAAATTTTGATCACTTTCCTTCAAAGATGCTGTCGATGGGTTTGGTGAGAGAAAGGAGAGAGCTGAAGGCCACTTTCGGCGCGCGGGCCTAACAGACATATATGAGTTGAGATCGCCTTTACATTTATCTTTAATTCACTCCATAATGTACTAGGTGTACCTTCTAGGTATGAGCAAATCATCCCATTATTCTGTTTCTGGCTGAAGTCGGTCTATGGATGATTCCTAGCAATAACCCCTTCTTTTCAAAAGGGGGGAGAGGCTTGAAGTAATGTAGGCTGTAGCTCTGGAAGAGTCTATATGGTTCATCGACCCCGCACTCGATATCCCACAAAAGAATAGTAAAGTTTCTTCTTCCTTGTCTAAATACCTGATAGCTGAGCAGGTACTCCCGTTACGAGTGTCAGGATGGGCTTGACCGGAAAGCACCAATGCAGCTGCTATTGCCACAAGCCGCTGTGGTTGAAACAGCAGACATCGACATAGTTTTATGATATTTGCTCGTAATGACTACTGATTGGATTGAAAAGCTGGCAATTAAAAAGGAGTTTGTGGAATCCGCATTGTAACAGTTGCGCTTGAGTCGTCCAATGCCGTGTTTGTCGATGGCGAGCCTCCCAGGCATCTGATTGGTGTGTTACAAAACCAAGTCGGGCTTGGCTTGTTCCTCTTAGCCTTCACGAATCAGGTTAGTTCGGTTCGGCCCGATACCTTGCCGACTGAGTTTCCAAACTCTTCAACTGACAACATCGTTTTTTGATACCACACATGAAAACAGCTCTGGACGAACGTGCCACTATCGATGTTGTTTTACCCATGCAAGACCCCTACATGACCCAGATTGCTGATGGAAGGAAGAATTATGAGTTCAGGGAATGGTGTGAAGAAAATCTTCTTCTATCGGACTTACTCCGCACTCCAGCATCATACATGTCTGCGAAATGATGTCCGCTCGGACTCGGAAACCCGGCGATCGTCCCCTGGACGAAGACAGCCTGGGGAGTGTTGAATTCAACGGTAAACGCAAGGATTGGGATGGCTGTGACTTCGCGTATGAGATGGTCACTGTCTATGAGCTCAAGAGGCCGATAACACTCAAGGAGATGAAAGAAAAACACTGTTTGTGTATCTGCTCAAGTCAATCAGTATTATTGTTAACTGGAAGCAACAGAAGCTGGTAAGAGATCTAGCTCCTAGCTTTCACTTGACCTTAGCTAATTAAGGTAGTTGATCAACCGAAGAAAGTAATTATTGAGAGAATTAACATAGGCTAATGGGAGCTCAGATGGGTCTGATGCAAGATAATTGTCAGGGTTGGAAATGACGCGGCCGGTTTATTTACCCAGCAGTATAAAGATGATGAATGAAAAGGAGTATGGGGGAGCAAATCTCAGAACCTCGAAGGATAATTACGAACGCAACTCCCTCCCATTAATTTGATTCGTAGAGCATTCTTGTACTATTCTGCCACTGAGAAAAGTACCAGGAAACACCTACAAAGCGTTAATCTCCAAGCACTGTGTCGGAAGCTAGCTAACTTCTACTTCAATTGCTGCTAACTAGCTATATCTCTGGTCCTCCCTTCAACATCCAGAGAAATTATCAGGCATTCTATACTTGTGGGTCATCTTCCAATCTAATACGATGACATACAAATTTGATGGTAGTAGTTGATTGTGCAATAATATCTCAACTAACCCCCATAACTGAGCCGCTCTTGACACTTCCTTTATAATAAGTTGACTGGGACAGATCCGTGCAACATTGTCTCTGATTGGCCATACTTACTGCATTTATCGCCTTCTTGAAAGTTTGTCAAGCTGGTTGGCCATTATTGGTGGCATCCTTAGGAACCTTCTCCTATCGCCTATCTCCATTCTTCTCTGCTACTACTTCCATGGCTCGATAGTCCTCCTAAGCTCTCTATCCCAATCTTAGTACCCTGTCATCCTTGACTTCTCGCAGACTACATGGGAAAATCGAGCGTGCTGATATCAGAAGAAGCAGTGCACAAATTATGAAATTTGAAGCACGGGATGGCCTGCTGCTCTTAACAGGTATATTCGTCCACTCGTATAAACTAAGGAAAAGAATCGTGCTTTTCCTTTTTATTTTATTTTTTTTTCAACAAAATATACATTCTACCAGTGATCTGTCTCTTTATAATCAATATCAGAGTAACATGAATCCGAAATTGAGTAGTAATACTCCCTATATAGATATAAAGGAAATCTTATAATTGACCTCTAGTATAGAAAATCCCATAACAGTGACTAAGCTACAAAAAATTATAATATATATTAACCCGCCAAAATCCCACCATTTACCATCAAGCATAATTCTACTCCTCCATCGCCCTCGCAATAACGGAAGCAAACCTGCCTGCCCTATCAGTATCCTGCTTAGCCGTGCCAATCCCAAGAAGCACCCTCTTGATCCCAACCCCAATCTGCTCACTCTGTGTCAGCCCGCGAAGCTCTGCCATGGCACCGTCTATCTCCTGCGGAGAGAACGCCTGTGCTTCCTTCAAGATGTAGGACAGTTCAGAGAAGGTGTTCACATTCGGAACGCGGATATCAGAATTAAAGGAGCTGAAAACATCAAGCTGCTTCAGGATGGAGCGCTCCGTGGTTGTGGCGAGGATAAGTAGGCGGCGGTCCCCGGGCGGTTTCTTTCTTAACAACACCATCACCGTCTGCAGTACTGTGTTGCTAAAACGGGGCCCAATGGGGACCCAGTCGATGATTCGTTCGATGTTATCCATCACGACAACGCTGGTGGGACTCTTGTATGCATCCATGAATACCTTGTTCATGTGGGAGACTTTACCTTGCCTCACTATAACCCACCATATCCTCCGGGGATATGAGTTTGACAAATGGAAAGTCTGAATCGATGGCAATCTTGGCAGCTAGGGCTGTTTTACCACTGCCTGGCGGCCCGTGAAGGAGGACCGAGAAGAGAGAAGTCGTTGACTGGGGATCGCGCACTTGGTTGACGAATAATTTGCCTTCACCTAGGATGCTGTTAATCTCAGGGGAATAATTGATGATCCCGCCGTGCAGGCAGCTTTCGAGCTCTTCTTCGGAAACGCCGAAGGCTGGTTTCACCTCGTCAAGAGCATTGTGGAAATCTTGGCGATTGACTTTCATGTTGACAATATCGTCACTAATACCAGCCATCGTGCCGACTTTCACATGTCGGTTAAACGCAAACGACGATGCCGACTTCACCAAACCACTTATTTCGGCTCCAGAGAAGTTCTTAGTCAGTTGAGCCAACTCAAGAAGGTCGACATCTTTATCCATCACGTCGTTTTCTCTCATCTTTTGTGTATGAATTTTCAAGATTTGAGCCCGTCCATGCTCGTCTGGCAACGAAATTTCCATATGTACTTCTAGTCGTCCAGGCCGCAGTAAAGCGTCATCAATCATGTCCATACGATTCGTCATTCCAATCAGCAGGATGTTGTTCAGTTGATCAACACCGTCTAGCTTTGACAAAAGTTGGTTGACGACACTGTCACCAACACCAGTTCCGCCGCCTGCGCCGCTACCACGCTGCTTGCAAACAGCATCTAGTTCGTCGAAAATAATGATGTGGAGACCACTTTCGTCTCCCTTTTCCTTGTACTCTTTCTCCGCATCCGCAAATAATTTTCGAATGTTCTCTTCAGACTGTCCAACATATTTGTTTAGAACTTCGGGTCCGTTAATAACCTTTGGCTCCCTAGCGTTGAGCATTTTGCCGATTTGTCTAGCAATCAGAGTCTTTCCCGTTCCAGGTGGTCCATAGAGCAAAATCCCTTTGACATGCTGAATCCCGAGTTTCTCTACGAGTCCGGGGGGGAAAATCCGGGAAGCAAAAGCTCTCCGAAATATAGTACTGAACTCCATATCCAGACCGCCGATTCCCATGTTTTCGAATTTAAAATCAGGTTGGATAATTGAGTTTGCTGCGGGCCTTCGATTGGAAGGTTTCACATTGATTCCCGTTTTTGCATCTTTAAAAAAGTTGATCAGAGTAAAAGATGTTAGAATTCCTCTAGCGTGAGGATCAGATGTCGTCGGGGCCGATGACGATTTTGCTTTTTCTGAAGCTAAATCTCCAAGTTGAACCGTTTTGACTGTTAACAGTAAGGGGATACTCTTATCATCCATCAAAATCTTTTGGCCGGGGGCCAGGATTTGGTTTTCAAAGTTCTATGTATTGAGAGTCAGTCATGATAACTTTTCCTGTTTTGTCAGTAGAAATATAATCTGTACTAACCCGAGTAACGACTCGCGCAAGTTGATCTTGATCATAAGGCATTTCTGTCCTCTTCTTGCCGGCGAACCCAATTTCCATATCCATCGATGCAAGGTATGATTGCCCGCCTTGGCTAAAAATGTCATACAACCGAACGGTGACCATATCCGTTAATGCGACTTGGGCCCACGTCCTCTGTGGATCAGACATGCTAATGTGTCCTGGAGGGAACCCCTCGAGAGGACGCGCAGAGAAGACAAACATATCGTTTACAAGAACCAGGACATCGGAACCGTCGCGGGAAGGGGGGATATCATGCGGTGATACTGCGACACTTTAAAAAGGGAGATCGGATTGTCAGCATCTCATAATATATTTGTTATATTTGGGTGGTTCGTTAAGACCAAGAAGGAGAAACCCGTTTCTCCCCAACACACCCCTCAAAGAAAAGATGAACGTACAGATTTCCATATGTATATGAATTATCTGGACTCTTCGCTGGGCGCAGAGTCCAGACTTGATCACCCATGCCACCCCCACCACCTCCTCCTCTCGGCGGCATCCTGCCGGGTCCCCGCCCAGAAGGCATGTGTTGCTGTGGCTGCCCACGGGCCATGGGGGATCGGTCGTAGTTCCTTTTATCATCATAACCATCAGTCATCACAGTGTCAAAATCAGAATCAGGACGACGGAGTGGAGTCGCATACCCTCCACCCAGTCGAGGATCCGGGCCATGACCAGATGACTGTGGACTAGGACTATTGTAACGGTCTCGCGATGTGCCCATTCTGTCCCCGCTGGGGGCAGAGCTGCCGCTGCTCGGGCTAAAAGGATTGACGGAAGGGAAGTTGTTGCGATTAAACATAGTTTCCAGTGGCTGGTAAGTTAGGTGTAGTTGAAAGAATGAGAAATATGGGCTCCTTCAGATTATTTATAGCCCTCAGTTTGCCGTAGAAAAGAACACGGTGTTCTCAGATATCGAGTTTCAGCGTCCAGCATATGTTTTCTAGGTAGGTGGGGAGCGAGAGGGGTTTGGAGGCAGCTACATAAAGTACAAGAACAGGCATCAATCAAAGTTGCAATGAGTAAAAATATACGTAGTCATCAGCGTCAAGCCAAATGATGGGCATAGGAACTGCGTATCTATACGGAACAATAATCTAGCTGCTTCTAGTGGGCCTGAAACTGACGTCGAGTCAAGATAATCTGACGATGCGATGATGGTTAAGGAAGAATCCAGCCACGTCCCGCGCCACCTTACTAATAGCTCCTGTGGCGCACTAAGAACTTCCTGATCTTTGGCGTCATCGGTGATTTTGGCAACTGTCTACTTTTATTAACTCAACAAGTGTTAGAAATTTTTATATTCGATTTTCAGAGGATGGTATTGTAAGTCCTAATTGCTTATATCACTTCTATCGCCTCTGCCGGTTATATACCATTAAATACTAACCAATTTTCCTCTCCAGGCATCTTCTCGGCAAGAAGTCATGGAACGTCTACAACAGAGATAACATCGCCCGCGTCCGGCGCGATGAAGCCGAAGCGAAAGCGCGTGAGGAAGAAGATCGACGGCACTTACAGCAAGTCGATGCCGGAAAACGTTTAGAAATCTTGCGAGGACTCCGCTCCCCGTCGAAATCCCCTCCGCCACCTGACCCCGAAGAGTCACCAGCCAACAAACGAAGAGATCAGGAACGAGAACGAGGGCCTCCTCACCGGAAACGACGGCGTATAGCTGGCGAAAACGATACAGATCGCGATATCCGATTTGCTAGAGAAGATGCGCAACGCGCGGAAGCAAGGCGTGAAAAGGATGTCGTCGTCGTCGGCAAACTGCCCAAGGATGATGCGCCCCTGATGGATGATTCAGGCCATATCAGCCTATTCCCTGAGCCTGCAGCGGTAGATTCTGTTATTAACGAGTTGAGGAAAAATCAAGAGGCGGAGGCTGAGGCTACGAGAAAGAAGCGCGAATATGAAGACCAGTATACCATGCGCTTCTCGAATGCGGCTGGGTTCAAGACGAGTTTAGATAAGGGGCCTTGGTATTCGTCGTCGACCACTGACATAGCGGCTCAGACTGTTGAAGATATGTTGCCAAATAAAGATGTGTGGGGAAATGAAGATCCGCGGAGGCAGGAGAGGGAGAGAGCGAGGATTAGTATGAGTGACCCTTTGATGGCGATGAAAAGGGGCGTTCGTCAGTTGCGTGATGTGGAGAGAGAGCGGAACAAGTGGGCGGAGGAGAAGAAAAGGGAGTTGAAGGTTTTCAAGGAGGAGAGGAGGGAGAGAAGGGATTCAAGCCGACATCATCGAGAAAGGCGAAGAAGGCGGGGATTGAATGCTTCACACAATAGTCTGGACGGTTTTAGTTTGGATGCGGGGACACAGCCTGTAGAAAACAGCCGCGATCGTAACCGCGAGCGCTCAAGGAAACACCGTCGGGAAGTGAGGGAGCGGAGTCAGGAACGTTCCTCAAACCATATGAGGTCCTATGTCGATAGCCAGTCTCATAAAAGCTCCAAAAAACGCGAAAAAGACTGGTCCAAGCGTCCTTCCACTGACAAATGACTGTCTAGTTGGTTGCCAGCACCTGCGAAACGTTATAATACCCAATTTGCCGATGTTTAAGTTGGTAATTTGGACTATGCCCACTTTCTATGACTGTCATGTTTCACGACCCGATTTTACTTTCTTGACCAACTCAATCATTCTATTTTGGTATACCTGAACGTGACGTGCAAAGGCATCAACCCAAGCGTTCCTATCTCTCTTACATTAAAAATATAACCGAGTAAAACCTCATTATAGAGACCACTCCTGCCGTCCGCTTTCAACGCCCTCTATATCCCAGTCAATCCTAATATCCAAGAGCCGAGATTTATCATCCTTTTTCCTATACTCCACATGTCCCTTGATAACCTGTCCCTTCATTAGCGGCATTGCTGGTGTTTTTCCACGGTTTATCAAAAACACCCCCTGTTGCCAATGGGTCTCAGGGTCGAACGGACCCGTCGAGAACGCGACAAATCCTTCCTTCTTCATATCGCGCGGCACCGCATTATCAGCCACCTTCGACGTCCTCGACGGCATAAAAAAGGTATCAAACCATATAGCCCAGCCGTCCAATGCATCGATATCCGTGCGGAGCGTTACTTCAAATTCCTTGATGAACGTGAGCTCCTGGACAGTTATTGTGTGTAAAGGCAGTTGTAAGAATGGCGATGCTTTCGCAACGATGGATTCTTCTGGCTTCTCGATACATCGGACAAGGGCCTCATCGTATATATTGAGAAGCATGCTGGACATTTTAAACCCGTAGACTGAGTTCCAGAAGGTTATGTGTGAATCTACGAGGTCTGGATTAGCCAAGGGTGCGATTTGGAGCGTGGTATGTGAAGGAACCATAAGCCCATCTGGTGCGAGGTAGCGATCTCGGGCCCAGATAACAGAGTCGAACATCGCTTCAAAAAGGAGACAGTATCCCATCCATTCGGACACGATAATATCGACTTGTGGTACTGGTAGCTCTACTTCTTCAATTTTGCCACGGATGCATCTAGTATTTTTTTTAAGGTTAATTTTGTTATTGTAGCTCTTGATGTTTAGCAATAATAGAGCATAAAATACATACTTAATCACATCCCCAAATCCGTTGTCATATACGATTTCGCGTGCCCGGTCAATGATATCTGAATTGTCAACCGCAACGACCATTTTCGCGCCGGCTTTTGCGCAAAACATGGACAAGATACCTAGGCACAGTAAGACACGATAATATAGATATAAATAGATTCAAAAATCATACCCGTTCCGCATCCGACATCAAGTACGATTTTGTCCTTGAACAGACTTTTGTTATCATATATAAAATCCCGATAGGCATCCGTGCGGACAGAGTCCTTGAGCATGGACTCGTGTATACCTAGACAATGAGAAGTTAGTGATTGCGACTCCTATTACCCTTTTCATAAAAGTTTGAAGACATAATCCGCACCATTATACGAATAGGATTTGAAATATTCTGACTCAGCTTCGTGGAATTTACTAGAGCCTGAAGCTTCAGTCTTTGCAGCTGTGCTTGAAAGTGCGCCGTTTAGTTCCTTGTCCAAAGACCGCTTAACAATCGTCTTGTACTCCTCGAAGTCGCTGCGCATACGGTCCAGTTCATCCTCGAGTTCTCTAATCCGAGATATTGGATCTGTTTCTGCCTCCTTTGATCCAGGACAGCCCTTTCTTACGTCATTTCGGCCAAGGTCATATTCCTCAGACAAGTCATCCAAGTTATATAGAAGCGCATCATCCTCCAGCACAGGTCTCAAGTATTGCTCGTCATCGAACAGGGCCGCAGAGGATACGTCAGGGGTCAAATTCCCAGTCTTGACCTCTGAGCGAATGTAGTTGACAAGTCTAATAGTGCCTAGGAAATCGAGGCCTGAACCGAACGAAGGCGCGAAAGTAAAACGGAACGCATCATAAGTCAGCTCGAGGTCACCCACCATCGAAATCGAATGGCAAAATATTTTCCGCCACAACCTTGCGCAATTGAAGTTTTATTGGACCGGTTTTGTATCTACACACCAAGATCTTTCTGAACCCTCACAAGGTCGAAGTGGAAATTTTCCTTGCACTCATTGAGCATTGCCCGGGCATCTGGGAAGACCTTGTCGCTAAACAAACTTATGACAGGGCTCAGACTCTTCGTCCAGTTCGACATCTTCTCATCCTTCATCTTTGGATAGGTCTAGAGGGTCAGACGTTGATGAGCTGCTGTCGCTATCGGATTGTGCATCCTCTAGGACGGAATGAGGGGGTGGTGGGGAGGAGGCCATTGCCTCGTAATCAACAGATAAAAGGAATGTATCTGAAATGAGGCATATGTATCCAATAAATAAAAAGGAGAATGATGGCCTTTTTTTATCTCTTCCGCAAATTCCAGCGTTGTTAGTGGGGCAAGGTAATTATTGGTGGGGAATGAGTTCTTTAAAATGCACCCATGATTTGGGGTCTGATAACTCAACCAACCACGCATATATGAAGCAAATGGTGCTCAGAAACCGATGGCTATGTACTGCACATATACAGCACATGCCCGTGTTTTCAATTCCAGCATTGTGCTGCTTGGTGAGTGGTACAATGCTATCAACATCAAAATAGTGTTATGTGCGTTAAGGAAACCAAGGATCATGGTCCCTAATTTTCAAGGACTGCTCTATTCTCCATTCTATTCAAGGCTGCCTCGAAATCAATTAATGTCGATGAATTTTGTAAGTTCATTGGCAATCAATGTTTTCCACTCAGTCACTGACACATGCTAATTGCCCAACACGAACGCAGGTTTTTAAAGTAGATATACATGTTACAAAACTTGTTCCAGCACAAAGAAAATCCAATTCTAGAACCAAGGGCTGGGGCGGGAGACACACATAATGTAAAGGGAGGATCGGGCTGCCCGCTCTTCTTTGCAAAATATTTTACAGTGCTGAATCCACCGCGACCGGCGGTGTCGGTCAAGGGCAATCGTTCCATTACCTTGAAATTATCTCCTCACAAGCTTTCTCGTCGGAATTTAGAGTCAAGTGAGCTGGGTACGAAGCGAAGTAGTTTTTATATGAGGTGACTCCTCGTCCAATAACATCGGATCAACGCAGATGCCATTGCCCTTCGGCAATTCCAGGTTTTCAACTTGAACTTCGCACCTATAAGATCCTTTGCCCTGTGCTATATGCCTCAAAACATGCCGCATTTCAGGGTTTCTGCAGTCTCCACGGGTACAACGCCAGGAATGGTGAACAACTTAATATGCACTATGAGCGAAACTGAACATGAGTCGTATCTGAATCAATCAGCAGGAGAAAATGCTCATATTTTGTCTTATGGCAAGAGAAGTGAGTCGCGTTGCAAGGTAAGGTTGAAATGAAAAGGTAGAAGATATCAATTGTTTTGCTCAGGGAGCGCGCATGGACCACGTAGGGGCCACGCAGAAAAACTTTCTTCTTTCACCCGATAAACGTTCATCAACGTGGTGCAGCAGGTAATATCCGCCTGGAATAGCGGATTCAACTTGCTCCTCCTGAGACGGCTGGAAACATCATCCAGGCAACAGGAGGTAAAAGTGGGGGTCAAATAAATGCCAGAGATGATTTTCCACCTGAATTCATTTAACAGAATAGCCCGCGCTTGTGACCAGCAATAGCACTCTGTCAAGTTAGAGTCAATTTTGAGCCATCATGGTGTCTGAGAACTGGTTTGCCTACTCTGGAGGCCAATGATAGAGGTTGGTTTGTGCAATCGTGCGACGCAAAGTTCTAAGTGCAAATATCTTGCTGTGTAATGCTGTCTTGGCGCGTAAAGCGCGTGCCCCACCAGCTGGTGCCTCACTTGTTTGGATCAAGCCTCCCTTTCAACATCGCTTTCTCACCGCAAGACACCAAGTCAACATTTTTTGAGGATCTTCCAAAATTCAGCTGCCTATACTTATGCCTGGAGCATTGGCTGCTATTACCCAACATCCTCTCAATTGGCGCTCATTTCTTTTGTTTGATTCCCAATAATTGTCTTGGCACAAGTCTCCCATTGAGGGCTGTTTCTATGGTTCTCTTTCCGCGAAGCTCCCCGTCATTCAGATCAGCCTTGTTGTGTGGTCGATGGCATTCCTATTTAACCGCGCCAGGTCACGGCAACCTGCTGAGGTCGCGCGGTCAATAAAGGACCTTCTATCACGCCTGTGGGGAAACCCGAATGGCGGCTCAAAGGTTTGTTACATTTCACCGTAAAACTTGCAGGATATCCCGCTAACTGGAGCGGATATATTAGGTGGAGGAAGATCTAGCCAAGCAATTGGCTCATATGAAATTGATTGTTCAGGGGACACAGGGTTGGTAAATTTTGATAACAAATCGCTGTCGCCTAAGACTCTATGTAACAGAAGAAAAAACAAAGAAAAAACTCTTGCTCATGATTCCGTGGTGAAGAAGTCGATACCCTCCCCGAACAAGTACAGCAATTGATACAAGCAGTCATCCAAGATGACCTGCTCTACGAACTAGCCCAAAGTATCCGCCATCTGCCATTCGAGGCAAGAAAAGATACGCAAACCATATTCTCTCACATCCTCCGATTCAGACCCGCCGATGCCAGCTCTGCGGATCCCCCCGTCATATCCTATATCGTCCACAACCGGCCAGAGATTATTGCAGAGCTGTGTTGGGGTTATGAAAATCATCGAAGCGCCATGCCCTGTGGATCTATACTGCGAGAGGCCTTAAAGTTCGAGGTCATTGCTGCCATTGTTCTCTACGACGAATCAGCCAGAGATGAGCCTGCCATCCGGATCAACGAGGTCGACCCGAGTGCGAAGCAAACGGGAGAAGGGCTCTTTTGGCAGTTTTTCCAATGGATCAACCGTGGCAGCTTTGAAATCAGTGCCGATGCATTTACTACATTTCGGGTGGGTTATTCCGTTTATAATCCCCCGCTCGCCGTTTATTTCTCCAAGCTTTTCATTCACAATATGGCTTTAGGATATCCTTACGAAACATAAAGGCCTGGTGTCGCAATACTTATTATCCAATTTCGAGCTTTTCTTCAGCAAATACAATAGCATTCTTGTCCAGTCAGACTCATACGTGACGAAGCGACAAAGTATTAAGCTGCTAGGGGAGATCCTCCTAGATCGAGCGAATTATAATGTCATGACCAAATATGTTGACCGCGGAGATCACCTCAAGCTGTGCATGAACCTGTTGAGAGATGATCGCAAAATGGTTCAATATGAAGGTTTCCATATTTTCAAGGTCCGATGGCCCTACCAACTGACTCAATCCTCATTCCTCCTTCCCCAGTTTCTGACCATATCATCCGAAAAAAAAAATTCTAACAAATTTTTCTTTCTAGGTCTTTGTTGCAAACCCTAACAAGTCTGTCGCCGTCCAGAGAATCCTCATCAACAACCGGGACCGGCTGTTAAAATTCCTCCCCAAGTTCTTGGAGGACAGGACTGATGATGATCAGTTTACGGATGAGAAGAGTTTCCTCCTTCGACAGATTGAAATTCTGCCGCCGGAGCCCACTGATCCGAGGCAGGGACAAGGCGATAATAGCAATAATAATTCTTTGAATGGATCCGGTTCAGGATCTGGAGCAGGCACAGCTGCAGCAGCTTAAAAAAAGAAAAAGAAAAGAAAAAAACTTAATCTCCATTGAATTAACATGTTGTGCTGTTTTGCTGTGGTGCTGTGGTATTACTGTGCACAGCTTCGCCTCCCATCCCCCAATTCCCTTTCCCCTCTAACGGCTTTCATATGTTTGCTTTTCCTTGATCCTGCCTACAGAACGGTGGTAGCCTCTAAAATCACTCCGCTCCTGGGAACAGAGGAACAACTTCGCGCAAATCCCCATCATGGCGCTCTCCGCAAACGCAAATGATGGGACCAAATCGACCACGCTTCGCGCGCTGGGCTTCAATGACTATGTCACAAAACCTATCAAGCACAATGAACTTGGCAAGATGATGATGGAAGTACTTGATCCCA